TGCATGTACGTTAAAAATGTCAGACAACTTCAAGTAGGAGTTATTGCCCTTAAATGACAATTTTTACCATTTTTTTATTTTTGCATATTATCTTGAAAACTATAATAGATAAAGAGAAATTTTTAAAATGCAAACATGATCAGCAAGACGAGATCTACAAATAAGTCTAACTTCATGGTCGAAATCGTCAGTCGAATACTTATTAGAGTTATTGCCCTTTGATGACGATTTTTTACCGATTGTTTTGCGTTTTTGCCTTATATCTTAAAAATTATATTAGATAGATAGAAACTTAAATAAGCAAAAATGATCAGCAATACAAGATCTACATGCAATTAAGACAATATGGAGGAAATCGTCCGACGACTCCTTATTGGAGTTATTGGACTTTAATGACGATTTTCACCATTTTGCTTGTGTTTTGCCTTACATGATAAAAATTATAATAGATAAATAGACACTTTAAATAATTCACAAAAATTATCAGCAAGTCAAGATCTACCAACAAGTCAAATTTTGCCGATATAGTTAGAAGACTGTCACTCTTTATAGGAGTGATTGCCCTTAAATCAGGATTTTTGTTACCCTCTTTTGTCTTTTGAGCAAAAACTAAAGAAGATAGCGAGAAATTAAACAGACTAAATGATCAGCAATACAAGATCAACAAAACAGAGATTTTTGTCATGAATTCTATTCTCGTCTACAATGTTGGAGAGTGTCCTTTGTTGAATATGCACATATACCAAGGTGAGCGACACAGGCTCTTTAAAGCCTCTAGTTTATATTTCTATGTTTTTTTATGTTTAAATATGTTACTATATTTAATTTGAAATTGAGATTTAGAAAAGAATTATTGGCAAGTTGAGACATAATAATTCTTTTGCCCTCTCCTGACACAAGGTGTACCGTTTACCCGTCGGATTTCATTAAGGGTGGACATCCCGATAGAGGAATGATAGCGGAAACGAATGCTCACTTTCATGCTTTATGAATAAAAGTTGGACCCCCCTCCTCTCCCCCAAATTGAAAATATGTAACAAATTAAGTGCGACAATTGTACCGTAAGCTTCTAGCTATACATAAAATGTATTATGTGTCATTGACCGAAGTGGATATTAGATGCAATTGATAATAATCAAGTGCAATCTTAAGTCAAAAAAATAAATAATTTTAGATAAAAGGGGGAGGGAAAAAAATATCCTGTCTCTTAATACCTTAATACTATAATACTAGGCCTCAATTTGTTTAGCTGATATAATTTGAATCGAATAAAAACAATTATTACACAAAACAGAACAAGTAGATTATCAAAGTTATTCGATTTGAATAAACCTGAATAGTGAATAGTGAGAAAAAAACCACTGTTCACTATTCACTAGTTCACTATTCATGAATTTTGAATAGTAAATAATGAAAAGTGAATAGTAAACGTACTTCAGCCCGGTGGTGGTACCGGTTCCTGCAAGAAGGAAATGGTCAGTGCAAATCAGAAACGAAACGTTCGCTGATAATATTATATATACGTCTGGCATTCCAACTATACATGAAAAACGGATTCTTCAGTACAACATGGTTGACATGTACATTTATCACTATCTTTCAATTTCATGCGGAATAAGACAGCATTCAGTGGTAGACAGTTTGTTATAGCCAGAAACCTAAAACAAGGGGCAAAAAAAAAACAACATCTACGTTAGTTAAATAGGGATGTCTTGCTTGTGTAATGAGCGGTTATCACCGAGGTTTTGCCTTTTTAGTATTTTGGACTTAAGCTTAATACAAGATTCTGTACCAAAATACTTATTAAACGTTTTAATATTAACGTTTCAATGTATATGATAATCTATTCTGGAATATGCTGTTATATGATTAAAATATTCCTTTTTTGATAATTTAAGTTCGTTAAAAATCCCTTTGCTAAACCTTGTACCAGGTATCAAACATAGCAAAATATGGGAGCCTTTGACGGTCCATATAAGTTGTTAAAGATTCCCATCATAACTCCGATAAAACAGAGCATTTTGGAAAAAGTATAGCTTTTGTCTATTGTCTTTGCAACAAGGCTAAAAAAATATCAGCAGAAACTGTAAACAGCAAAAATGTTAAGCCCATACAAGATTCACACATAAATGCCAATATTACTGAAACTAACTCATAGTGAAATATTGCATATTTTTAAAAGATGAATGACTTTTGACAAATTATGAAATGTTTCCCTAAAATTACGAAATTTATAGATATAACAGAAAGACAGAAACGATAACAGCAAAAAGGATATAAGATCTAGGGAAGACTTTTGAAGATTTTAAAATGTTTTTTTTTTATTCATAATTTTACTGGAATGAATATTGTAATCTAGTTTCTAATGTTAACTTTCCTTAATTTCAGTTGAACGCAATCGCAAAACATTATTTTAAAATAAAGGTAATCAATTTGTTTCTTGAGAAAAAATGATCGGGAAAAAGGTGAGGATAAATATTAAAATACATGTAGCATACTGTGCCAGGTAAGCAATTCATGCGCTACTGTGTACCTTGTAGATAGAAAAATGATATTGCACAGTTATTTTTAGAATGACTGACACAATCGTAACAACTGATCAAATGAATGGCGCGTTGACAACCATAATATAACAACGGTAGCCTTTGTATTCACCTAAAGAAGTATAGTCTCGTATCGACCTCTTACAAAGGTTATACATGTATAATGTATAATGTGTACGATTAATTCACTGTTCGCTATGTGCATCAATTGTTCACTTTTGTTAAGGCTTTTTCAATAGGTTATTGTATTTAAAAGTATACCTTATGTTATAGATAATGCATATATAAAGGGTTTTCTTGTCGTATAAAAAGGCGAGGTGTGTGTTATACGACAAGAAAAACCTTAAAATATGCATATTCTGATTTATATAATCCGTTAAAAAGTATTATTTTCTGCAAATAATTGCAGATTTTGCATCCTATTTTTTTTACCGACCACTCTAAAGTGGGATGTTCTTTTCTGATGCGTTCAGGTTTAATACGCCCTATGGCTAATTTATAAAGTGAAATAAAACTCACTGATTAATCTAGATATAAACTTTAGAAATGACACAAATGAATTGTTACGGTGTATGAAAAAAATACAAGTCACTATGTAAGCAATTAATTGTATCAACTTAGTTTTTCTCTTCTTTTTTTTTCATGACATTTTTATCGCGGAAAAGCAGATTATTTTTTCAACAATTATTGACGATCTATTCAGAATAATTGTTTTTCTCTCTTTTGAATGGCAGTACATTTTTTTTAAACTGAAAATTTGCAAAAACATACGATAACTATCAAACAAATTAAATGCATGATTAAGTAGATTATTATATAAATAAGAATATGTGGTATGAGTGCCAATGAGACAACTCTTCATCCATGTCACAATGTATAAAAAGTTAATAATTATAGTTTGCATTTTAATCAGGGAAAACAATTACCCTACATAGATCATTATTCTATGCCTTGAATCAAATTTCATTGAAACTTGGTATCGTCCGGGTTAATGCATGTAAGAGTAATGTTGTCCAGTTTCAGACCGAACTCATTCGAACGATCAAGTCATGAATTTAAGTGTGGGGATATGAATATTGCTACTAGCAGTGGATATACTTATCCATGTTATCTGGGCCTTGTTTTAAATGAATTTCTAGACTTTAGTATTACTGCAAAACAGAGTTTTAGGTCTGGTAATAGCTAAGTGTAAAGCTATTGGTGGCATTTCATATGACGTCTATAAAAACTATTTGATTCACTTGTAAGTCCTATTGTTGAATATGGTGCCGCGATTTGGGGCTGCAAGAATTTTTCATTTATTAATGCGATTCAGATGAGAGTTTGTAGATTCTTCCTTGGTGTAGGTAAATACACACCCAACCCAGCTGTCATGGGAGACATCGTGTGGGTTCCAATTTACCATACACAATACACAATGGAAGGTAATTGCAAGACACTGGCACAGATTAGTAAATATGATGCCAGATCGTATTAACAGGAAAATATTTATATGGGCGGATGAGGTCAGTCTGAAACATAAAATTGTAAAAAATTGTAATTTCATGGTTAAAAAACAGTTCACTGAACTTGAATTGATTGACTTTTGCAATACCAACACTAATATTAATAAAACTATGTTTGTTGATACAGTCATGTCAAGAATGTTTGATAAATATATTGATGAATGGAAAAGCATGGTTAATTCAATACATTCTCTTCCAGACGGGGTAATGGGCAAAACAAGTTGAGAACGTATATATACTATTTTTAAGCAAGAGTATGTTGTTGAAAACTACCGGAAACTATTGATGCCTTTTAGTGAAAGAAGTGCCTTTGCAAAATTTGCAAAATTTAGATGTGGGGTGGCTCCTATTAGGCTGGAAACTGGGAGGTATGAAAATTTGCCACTGGAAGAGAGATGTTGTTTTAATTGTTCTAATACTGTTGAAGATGAATATCATGCTATTTTACATTGTCCGGTTTATAATGATCTTAGACAAATACTTTTTACTGAATCTCTTAAAATTGATGAACATTTTAATAGTTTTACAGACTGTCAGAAAATGGTTTTTTTAATTTTTCGAATCAAGATATCATTAGATTATGTGCCAAACCTGTAATTTTATTCTGAAAAGACGCCGAGAAGTTTTGTATTGTAAATAATTAATAAATAATTATGCTGTATATTTTTACCATTAATGTATATACATGTTGTTTTAGTTGTTATCGTCTCTCATAAATATGTACAGATTGGCTTATGTATAACAAATGTATCCTTTATAATTGTATTGTGTAATTGTATGCATAAGGTGAGACGTAAATGAAATATTGAATTGAATTTAATTCATCAAAAGAAAGACCTAGTGTTCTGAAAGAACATAACTCCATATAGGTACATAAAATTTGACAACGCTTCATACTTTTCGACAATACAGTGTTGTTTTAATATAATAAAATTTTGATTGTATTACTTTTCGCTTTGTGCATATATTATTCACTTTTGTTTATGCTTTGAAACTTTTATACACTATCGGATTTTAAAAAAACTAAATAAAAACAAACGCAAATTTTAAAGGTAAGTTTCTTTACTCTTTTTATTTGTAATAATGATGAAATTATAGCATACACATCATCGTTTGGACGTTGGTGTCATATAGCTTGAATAAATTTGGGGAGAAAAGTTGGTGATAGAAATGATAAATGTTTACTCAGAGAGTGTTAATTTGTTATAACTGATCTCAGAAAAAAAAATAATGACATGGCCCTTTGAAATTTCATTATTGTGGTTGGTACTTCTCCTGGTCTTTTGTTTTTAAAAATCTTATCCTCTAAAACTGCTGGGTCAAATATAACCATTTTTCACCTGAATGCTTCTTATGGTATCTAGTAAAAAAATCTTCCCAGAACCGTTGTTGCTTCAGATTGAAAATAGGTGTACATGCATTTTTTTACTTATATTTCAAAAACAATCAGTTAGAGCTGACATAATTCAAATGATAAGCAGGTCTATCTCATATTAAAATATCCGAAAAATCGGACAACTTATTTTTTATTGCCCCTGAAATGTCAATGAAAAAAGTAAAATAACAAAAATACCGAACTTCAAGGAAAATTAAAAATGGGAAGTCCCTTATCAAATGGCAAATTCAAAAGTTCAAACACACCAAACGAATGGAAAACAACTGTCATATTCCTGACTTGGTAGGGACATTTCCTTATTTAGAAAATGATGGATTAAACCTGGTTTTCTGGTTTTAGAAAATATCAGTTTTTTGCTTGCATTTTAAAAGAAACCAAATTAGATAGAGATTGACTGTTAATAAAAAAAAACATTCTATAAAATATGATCTACAAATAAGTCAATATGGCCGAAATTGTTCATTGACCACTTATAGAAGTTATTGCCCTTGAAAGATGGTTTTTATCCATTTCATCTTTTTTTGCAGAATCCATAATTAAAAGATAGGAATTGATCACATCATATATGTTCAGCGCAATATGATTTACAAATAAATCAATATGGACGAAATTGTAAACTGATTCCGTGTAGGAGGATTCTCCTGAATAACCATTTCTATGTTTTTGTGTAGAATTTTTGGCACTTTTTAAAAAAAACACTAGATAAAGACAAAGTTAAAAACGTAAAATAAGATCTACAAATAAGTCACGTCAAAAATGTCAGATTCCTAATAGGATTTATTGGCTGTAAATGACGACTTTTTTTTACTATTGTTTTTTAATTTTGCCAATTATTTCGAAAACTTTAAGATAGATTTAAACTGTTAACAGTAAAAATAATCATCAATACAAGATCTACAAAATATTACTTAATAAGATTTACAAATAGTCAAACATAACTGATTGCAGTAAAGATAAAAATAAACTATCATAATGGTCAGATGATCGATTCAGTCAGTATCTTTGGAGCCTCTTGTATGTTTTATGTACGTTTTTTTTTAAGATTACCAATTAAATATTCAATTATATATCGGAAATGTGCAGATTTATCTATGCACGATTAAAGAAATAGGGAGAGAATTCGCTATTTTGTATACGAAATAGTTGCACTTATCTAACAAATAATACATTCTGTAAACACCTTTACAAATTTAAGTTATACCGAATCGTGAAATACAGAAAAACAAACTCACGTTTCAATGTTTACAAGGTTCATATGCAGTATAAATTGTGAAAAATAAAGGAAATATTGTTTCTTATTTCTGCTCGATACCTATTTTTAGAGTTCATATACTCGTAGTTGTTGTTTATTATTAATATGAAATAAGTACATTTTCACCGGATCTAAAATTGAATTTGTACACTCTAACTTTTGTGTAAGTATTTTAGATTCGAAGTCAAAGTTACTGTTAGAGCATTAAAATTAGTCTTACTTTTCCCAAATTATTTCGACATTCTTGTATCAAATCGCAAGGAAATGAATTATTTACTAGTAATTTCGTTTGTACAACTTATGATGTGTATGTCAAATGTCTTTCGCTTTGATGGAAATTATTTCAGTGCAGTCAGTGTTGAAGACATTTATACCAATATTAAATTACATTTACAATGTTTGGCACATAAGCCATGTAGCACCTGTTAATAAATGCGAAGGCAAACTTACCGATTGTCATTGAAGCATCGGTTACCTAATACATTGTTTAATTCAATTGTGTTAGATTTAAGCTGAACGCCATGACTAAAAACGGAAATCGATGAAACGACAAACAATATATATATATATATATATATATATATATATAGTCTACAAAACACAACGTCATGGAAACTAAAGAATGAGCAACATGAACCCCACCAGAAACTGGGGTTGGTGTCAGGTGTTCTGGAAGGGAAAGCAGATTCTGATCTGCATGTGGGACCCGTCGTATTTCTCATGAAAGTACAAATCGAGGGCGTCATCAAAGTGCGAGTCCTATACCGTAAAGTAAACTGTTAAGGTACCCGAAAGACAAAACGTGAAACGTAAGAAGACCAACGACCTCAATTATGTTCAAACATTGAACGAAATGCAAATTGGCAATTATGACATACAGAATCACAGGCATCCTAAGGCCAAATGTCTTTACTGAAATGAACTGAGATGAACGTCTATGTTGTTCGATATTTGAGACAAGGACCCTGAAATTGCAAGAACTAGTAATTTTATTCAGAACTTTCCAAATTATGTTGATTTTTTTTTTGTTTTTACTAATCAACCTGCCCTCCATATAACCAGGGTACCTTAGTGCAGACATGTTATTTGTGGTCTGACAATAAAGTAATAAACTTTTTGAAATAGTCGTATGTTTTACCAACAATTGCAATGTTAAACTTTATTTTTAGGCAGAAAATATCGGAAAAGGTCGTACCCAAAATAATAGTTTACACGCATTCACATCTTATAAAATACAATAATTGTAGCGATACATCTTTTTGAGTAAAACCTTTGCTCATATCTAAGTACTAAAGTGAAGCTATTTTTGGCAGTATTTGCAGTTTTGCACTTAATTTAAGCATATTGAAGCCCGTTTGCGAATATGCAAGAATTCTAAAATGTTTTATGAACATCTTAAAGGTGGTATTAGATAGATTTATTATACTTTATGCTTTTCGATTTCAAGGGCACACACGTGTCCTTATTATACCTCTTCCTTTACCTATCTTAGTTGGCTATTTCAATCCTTGTTGAACTGCAGTAGTAGTACTTTATTTTTTTATTTAACTCATGACATAGGTAAAATCTCTTTGTTCTTACTGTGCTATAATTTGGATAAAGCACAGCTGAGGTGTGCATTAACTATACCTCAGATATACTGCACAGTTCAAACGCACTCTTACATTTAGGGGTGATTTTTAAGGATTTTTCAAAGGGGGCTTAATTCTATAAAATGTAGAAGAAATACCGCCGAGTGTAACGACGCTCAAAAACAATTTTGATGATTTTAAGTTAAAACATGATCAAAGGGTGGGGGCCGTCTTCACCCCCTTCTGAATCCGCCACCGACATTGAAGTTACTACATATTTCAATGGAATTTATTACAACTTTTTAAATATTCATTTAAAAACTTAATGCTTCTTTTTATTATTTTTTTTGGGGTGTAGAAACGTAGACCGAAGCACATTTAAATACATATAAATCTTCCATGAGGTACGAAATGGCATACATATAAACTCCAATGATGTACGAAAAAGTATACATATAAAATTTCCATGAGGTACGAAATGGTATACATGCAAATATTCCATGAGGTACGAAATGGTCATCGTACGAAATGGTTATGGTACGAAATGGTTTTTGCCAGGGTACGAAATGGGGAGTACGAAATGGTTAGGGTACGAAATGACTATATAATTCAAAAGTTTCATTTACTATTTGCATTGATGGTAAAATGTTTTATCGTTATAGAAGAAATCAGAACAATGTTCAAATGCTACCACTGTAAAGAGAAGTCTGATCAAGCGTATGCTTTGCTTGGTCACACAGAAATAAAGCACCATCATAGTTTCATTTCCATCAGAAACTAAAAAAATAAAAATTGACAATTAATATTTGTGAGGTGTACGCATATCGTATACAAATTCCGTTTTTTTTTGTTTTTTTTTTCTCACATGTATTTCAAAAGGATCGTATTAAAGCTTACAGATTATTTATTTTGTTGTTTATTAAATACATTGGATAAGTCCTCGAGTTTATCATCAGCTCAATAGTCAGTACTTCGGTAATAACAAATCCTCCGAGGGGGGACTATATGGTCACTTAGGTCCTCTTTCAACCGGCAGTAAAACCCTTGCCAAAGTGGGGCATCCGTTTGGCTGTGCTGGATGTTCAAGTACGCAGCCACGTCCGGCCAGAATGGGGCGTGTAGAGAGACTGCCACGCGCACTGCACGTTAAGAATCCTTGCATCAGCTCTTTGAGGGGCCGTAGGTGTATACTGTTGCAAGGCACAATTTCTGTCCATGTCCAACAGACCCTCCTTTTCAGTGGCATTCTAAATTTCCCGACATTCATCCCGAACTTCCTCTGTTAAAGGACCTATTGGGTGGGGGGGGGGGGGGGGGGTCTTTTAGTAGAATATAAGGGTTTACATTGATTTTTTTTATTTTTAAATGCAGTTCCTTTGTTTTCTTGCTCCTTTCATTTTTCGTCACTGTAATATATATACAAAAATCATAAAATATTATTGACTGTAAAAATAAAGATAGCATGAAATGAAATTGAAAAGATTGTGAGTGCCTGTACTCGGTTCTAAAGCCCGTTTTAAAAAGGACACACAATGATTTCTTATATATCGTAATACTGCAAGGTTATGGTAAAGTGTTTTCAGAACAGAAAGTTCTCATTAAATTGAAAAGGGTTAAATTTTATCAACATAGTGATATGTTTTTGTGACTTATTAAGAATATATAGTATTGTCCTTCGCTTAATTACAGTTACAAACAAGAAAAAGTCACTTTTTGAGCACAAGAATGTCACCTTTCTTATTACATTTTCTTTATAAAAAAAAACGGACCATTTGTTGAAAAATCCAGACGTGTTAAACGTTGCTCTCGAAAAAACACGGACAATATAAAACA